TTTAATATATAATATATTTTCTATCTATAATTCGTATAGATATATATCGTAGTGCAATTCTATATATACTTCTAATTTATATGAATTTTTTTATAAAAAATTTCATTGAAGGTAAAATAGTTTCAAAACGCACCGCATGCAGGAATGCTAAAATTGTTATGTGAAAGTAATAATTAATTTGTGTAATTAAACTATTAAATTAATAGTTAACTTTGATGTTACTGGAAATATAATTATAAATAATTTCATAACTTGAATGAAATTTATATATTACAGCATTATTTATAATTATATTTACTGGCGTCACATGAAAGTAACATGAAAGAACTAGTAAACGCGACGTGATTCAAGCGAACAAATTAATTACGTTAATGGAACTCGGCTATCAGAGAGTGTTTATGGTTGACACGAGGAAAAGTTTTCGCTCGGACCAGTCGTCATGGAAAAGAAAGTTACGTTATTTCATTAATAATGGTAAAAAAAGAAATACCGTCCCCTCTGCCACTCTCGGAAGTGGCATGAAAAATTCGGGCGAACTTTCGATGTCGCCGGGAATAAAGTAATACGGAAATATTCAAGAGTAATTTTCTAGAGCGACTAATTACATTAATTAGACAATTAGATACGAGAAGATACACACGCGGGATTACTCGCGCTTCTTTTTTCGTGCGTCCCGCGACAGGGGACGTAATTCGATCTGAAGAGGCTGGGATGCTGCACGCGTCCGACAAGTTTACAAGCTTTATTTTCCGCGCGGCGACGGGGGGGAAGAGGGAGGGGGGGGGGGTGCTTTCGACCCCCTTCGTGCGGTAATATCCTCGACGGGGCCGTAAGTTACGGTGCGCGTCGTCCACTCGAAATTACGCGGACGCGATACCGGGTGATATCGAGCGCGCGTAGGGGCGTTTGTCGAGAGGGGAAAGGGATGAGACATTGTCTCATGACGAACGGTAGGCGATTGCGAAGTTGCCGCCCGTCAGTCGGGGGAAAGTCGGGGAAATTGAAAGCGATCCGCGGCCCACGGCGGTGAATCGAAGGGAAGCTGCGACGAACTTCCGCCCCCGATGATAGACACGTACGCGACAGAGGGTCGTTCGATCGGCGACATAATTGCGAATGTCTGAACGTTATCGAATCCCGTGATCTTAAATGTTATCGAGCAATGCGCGAACATAACTTAATAACGAAATTATGTAAAATTATAAAAAGAAAAAATTATAAATGTATATAAAATTAATTATAAATAAAATAACTGAACTTTTGAAATATTAGAAAGATCATCTCCTTTACGAAACAGAATAGTAAAACACGAGGCGCAATGAGAAATATGAGAGAATAAAATAACATGGGAGACATAGAATTGTAAGAGTAACACTATCTACTTGCGTTTTATATTTCATTTCTCATTTTCGGACTATAAAAAGTAATAATAATACATATAGAAATACAATACGGATAGATAAAATTTCTGTCAGAGGAAACAGTTCGTCGTTGGTCCTGTCAAGTTTGACATACGATCTTCATATTAATATACTCAAATAAATCCCAATTGGAACGCAAAATTTATGTCCCACGTACTTCGAGATCCTGATAAATATTTATATTCAGTTGAGTTCGAACGTTAGATCCCTCTCAAGTCTTACGGTGACCTTTTGGCGAATTTTTGACTCCCACGTCGAGCTTTCGAATCCGGAAAAGGAGACTCAAATCTCGCACGACGGCGACAACGGCGGCAGCGGTGCGTTCTAATTTCTATTTCCGGCTTGTACTTCTCT